ACTCCCAAAGCATTCCGAGTTTTGACTCTTGAACGGCTTTTTGACGTGCCTAGTGCAGGTCATGTGCAACTGGACACACCACTCACCAATTTGCCACTTATGCCATGCGGTACTGGCAGCAAAGGTTGCTTTGGGGTGGCGATACCCTCTACTCCGGGTTTAGCGATGTATCTCTTGACCTATTCTTTTCAAATCCCGTATTTTCCCTTTACGACTTCTGAAACCAGAGAAGCTGCTTCTCTGCTTGGCTGAGCGGGCGTTTAGGATTATTCAGATTGGCTGTATGGGCCCAAAAAGCAAAGGACGTCTCAGAGGTTGCCCCACGGCTCAGTGGTTTCGCCAGCCAAGCCGCGAGCAACAAGTAAACAAGATTCGAAGAACCTTTTGTTCATGTTTGTTCTTGCTTGTGTGCGTTTGGTTTGGAGTGGGAGATTGTTTGGTGGATGCACCATATGCACCATAGTTTTAATATGTTTTAATGAAACCTTTGGTGACTCCGTTTGTTTGCATGTATATAGATTTTTTACATGTGCTTGTTGCTTGCCACGATGGCAAAATGAGCTTTTGCCCTCAGTCTATCGCCATATACCAATTGCTAGGGTTTCTCCTGGATGCATGCAGTTGGTCCACTGACCGGGAGGTAAACCTGAAAAAGCAGCAAAGACTCCAGTTGTTTCCAGTGCCCGGCTCAGTAGCCTGGTGGGCTGGGCAGTTGTTTTGACAGAGACTGATCGTGCAAATGTTCAGTCCATTGAGGCACCAGAATGGTTGCATGCGCGTGGCTTCGATGCACAAGATCTTTAATCGTGGAGTTTCGTCGAGCAAGTTTGGAGCTGCCTCATTCTGATGGTTGTAAACCAGATCAATTTGCAGCCTGTGTTTGAATAGATCGACAGAAAGCTGAGGGAGTTTCTCAAAGCGACACATTTTGTTGAGTGGCCATGTAGGATGTGTAGGAGGCGAAGTAAATCTCATGCCCCATGAGCTACATGACCAAGGCCTGCCACTCTTCCAGTGTTTGGAGAAGAAGTACCCTGGATCCACAGAGGAGGGTGCCAGTGCAGCCGAGAGTCCCGATTTGGTACTCGAAGCAGTGGCGAAAGCAGCGGACACTTGGCAGTGACCAGTATGGTCAGTGAATGTGAGTGGTGTATCTTGTTTCGGTGAAAGCCACACAGAAAGTGAGAGTATTTTGTCAAGATCTTTATATTGCTGACGGTTCTTTCTAAGGAGAAGATTCAGGACGTGCTTCGCTGTTTTTTCACTTTGGCGAGCTCACCATTGCTTGGTCATGGCTGGGGTCTCCGTCTAGTTCTAGTAGTTTGGTGGATTTGGGCATGATGTTTGTACCGTTCTTGCGTTTGCGTTCATGTCGCGCTTGTTATTTCCTTGGCAAATCCGATGCAAGCAATCCACCGAACTCCAGAAAGTTGGCATGCTATATCAGTACAATATTTGGCATTCCTGAAGCTCCTTTGGCCTTGGCCTGCAAATGATTGGCCACATGTCAGCGCTGAAGGAGGAGAAGATGCTTGAGACACAGACAGAGGCTGAGGTCCACCAAAAGTTGGAGACCCTGCAAGAAAACGAACGTTTCTTGGCAGCCATGGAGGTTTGGCCACCATAGTTTGCCATACGGATTCACATGCTGCAACACGGATTCGTTTAAGCACATTCAATGGTGCCCTCACTTGAGTCAAGTGGCCTTGTCAGCTTCACAGGAACGGGATTGGCTCAATGTATCCTGAGAGGGGTCGCAGATGAGAGGAATCTCGTTCTCTCTTTCTTGGCTCCGATTCATGGCTTGTAGCATCTAACCTGAGGTCCAACGAGCAATGGTGACTCCAATGACCAGACTGCAACATCTGAAGCAAAGTCCGAGACGATTGCATGGTGCAAAGAAAATCCTGGCCAGGCAGTCGTCGGGCTCCCAAGGGTCCACAGGGTGAAGATCCTCACTTGTGCGAAATGTTTGGGGTGGTTTCAGGTCATCTTAGGATTCAGGAACTGAAGATGGCAGGAGAAATATAACTGGAGTGTGGCATCAAGACATGTTCAACTTCTTCGACTGAGGCAATGTGCTCTCAGGTGCCAGAGGAGGCTTGCAAGATTGGCACACCAGGCAAGGGCGATGGCGAAACAAACACTGACACTTGTGCAAACAGCGCCGGACCTATGTGCCTATGCCTCGTAAAGCCTTGCATTTGCAAATAACTAGTGAACCAGCCGTAATTAACCAGCCTGTCCTTTGTGAGACAGCAAAATGAGAGTTCTCGTTGTCTGGTAAGTTTGCTGGGGTTCCCTGCAAAAAAGTAGCTGAAAAAGCAGCATGATATTTGCAAGAGTAAAGATGATATGCGCGCGTGCGGACTGCGGAGTTGAGCCTTTTGGTCAAGCTTTTGCATGTCACACTGGTGGTGACAGTTGCGATGGCACAAATGATAGCGGTCAAAATGCCAAGACAAGTATAAGTACCCCATGCCTTCTAAAGAGGTGTACTGGGTTTAGCCACAACATCATTTCGGATGTGGAGGCTATGATCTTTGCAAGGAGGTATTCCGGAGGACTGCATGGGGTTTTGCAAGTGAAATATTACAACGCAACAAGGACCATGAAGCTTGTGACAGAAGCACTTTGGTCTGAAGGATCAATGTGATTTATGATACAAAGAAAAACTCTATCGGTAGAAGGCCTTTTGCAAAGCTCCAAGTCCAGAATTCTGCCCGCACCCTGCGAGGAAGTGCGAGCAGCAGAGTCCATGTTGCACACCAGTTAAGGAAATCACCATGAGGCTTCTTGCAAGCAAAATGAAGCCGCTAGTGGCTGAGTTCAAATTATATGTGTCCTCAATATTTTGTATTTTTAAGAGGCCAAACCTCAGCTCGAACAAGAATGGCTGACAGGTGTATTGATAGGCCCAGTCAGGACTTCCGATGCTTCTTGGCTTCCACAGAGCTGCTAGCTGCTAGTAGCTGCTTGCAGGTGTGTTGCCCTTGAGGAGATCCAATCCCTTTGGAACGAGTATTCTCGGCAGCACTAGAAATTGCTGCAGTCGGCGTGGTTGTCTACTTTTGGCACAGCGATTTTCAATAATGCAAAAGGTCGACAGTTGTCAGACAGGCGTGACAGATGTGTCTTCGGAGCCCTTGAAGCTTCAGCAAAAGCGTTAAAGACCTGACCGTAATGGCATTCCATGGCATTCCAATATGGCTGACACTAAAGCTCCCACAGCTTTGATTTCTGTACAGGGACTTCGGCCTCTTTCGGTAGAGCATCAAATGTGATGGGCGCGAGTGTTTACCGAATGCCAGGCACGTTTGAAACTGCTTGCATGTTTGAGAGATTCGACTGATTGGAACTACAGAATTGATAAGTAAGAGGAATTTGTCTTTGGTTTCAGACGCCGCATTATTGACTTCGTCAATCACAGCCATCGCCAGAGTCTAAAGACTAGACCTTGCGGAAAAAAACAAGCAAAAAAGAGATTTACCTGTGCAGAAAGACGCGATGCTCAGCTTTTGCAGGGCTAAACACTGTGTATGGTTACCACATGAGCCAGTTTTTGTGTTGGAGCTTGGTTTGACTCAACGCCCAGGGGTGTCTTGAGTCACCACGGCATCAGCCCTGCAAGCCAACTTGGCTCCAACATTGGCATTTGTTCGATTGCAAGAGTCACAACCGAACGTAGCAGATCAAGGCACAACAGGCACACTCATTCCAGCATTGCTATGCATGCAAGTTGAGCAGGTCAAAAGACGTTTGCAAGCGGAAGCCAAACTTGGTAATACCGCTTTCCAACGATTTGTGCTAGCGCTCACGTCCCATGGTGTTGGCCTTACTTTTCAGAGAAGGGTCCATGTAGTTTGAAGAAGTTTGAACATGAATGAACATGCAAAAGTGACATGTTTAGTGCAGCGAGCATCAGCCTCATTACATGAATACTCCGCTGCACGTCCTTTCAGGCCGGCACTGCTCACCAGCAAGACACTCAATTGTGAATGCGACAGATCTGGGATTCCCCGGGTGGGGTAGAGAAAGAGGTACAGTACCCACTACGCTGGGTGCTGGTTGTGTCCGGTTGGATATATACCTCGCTTTGGCCTGAAAGATATCAAGTGTGTTCGGATTCACCGCAAAGTCCCAGGCCTCAGTTGAGAAACCCTGGTTGGCGTCGGTGGCACGAGCTTGCGCCGTGGGCTCATGGAAGTTTGGCTATCACCGGTTGTGGGGCATGCATGGAAGTTCCTGAAGTTGTGACCTTCAAATTCATTTGCGTATTCAGGTTATCGACCGTTTTTTCTTGACCGTCGTGTCTAAGTTTCCAAGCAGTTCAATTGAGCCCGCTGGTTCTAAAGCATAATGTAGCAAGATCAAGACGTTAGAGCGTCGGCCCTTCAGCCGACGAGCTCTTCCAAGGTCAAAGGAACGCAGGAAAGCACCGGGGCACAGGTTGTGAGAAAATGTTTTGTTGAGCCAAAACTATTGCATGTTGTTCTTGTTTCTTTTTCGAAGTTATCAGTTCAATTCAACTGGTGTGCATTGATTCTTGCTTGTGTTGTTATGTTGCTTGAATTACCTCGGTGAGGCTCAAAGCCCTGGGTTTCACCCCCACCCCACAAGTCCCATGCAAGTTGCTTGCTGGGGGGCATCACTCAGTCATTGGTAGTCCTTCGATGTTTGCACGCCTTCCAACCAACAGTGTCACAAAGTGCCGACATGTCTCCTGAATTGGGGCCCAAAGCAACTCCCACAACTCCCCAAAGGGGGCCCAAAGCCATCCCAGTCTGAATATTTCACTCAAGGAATGCTACAGTCTTCACCCTGAAACGCTTTCAAACCCGCTAGGAGCAAGGACGCTACTGGGGGCTCCTGGCATTATTACTAGGAGCAAGAAGCTACGAGGAGCAAAGAGCGACTATTAGAAACAAGTGCCACGCTAGTAGTAACAAGTGCCTTACTGGTAGTTACAAGAAGCTACTAGTATCAATATGCAATCATTATACACTTCTCGACGTCCCAGACGATCCTGTGTCGACGCCATGGCTTTGGCACCACCCACCGCCGATCGGGGCATTCGGGTCTCTGTGGCATCCATCGGCGTCTTACTGGCAACATGATGTGGAAATGTGTGGAGTCTGGAGAAATGTATAAACATGTGTAAACTGTAAACCATTTACACCGATCGCTATCAGGTTGGAGGCCATCGTTTGAATTTGTCTCGAGTATCGTAAGCCTTAGGTGTTGGGAATCTTGAGACCTGGAAGCCATGTTCACAGGAAGCATCTGTTCACACGTCTCAGGTGCCATCATCGAACATGCGGTGGACGCCGTGGTGGTCGCGCCGGGTGAGGCCGTCGTGCCCAATCGGAGCCGTGCAAAGCCTGCAGTGGATGTCCCCATGGGCTCCGCCAGTGGAGTGAGTGACCTGGAGAGAGACATAGAAGCCGTGAGCGACCTGGGTGAAACATGGTGAAATGGTTTTGACGCGCGGTTTTGGGAATGTGTGATTAGAATATGTCATATTACATGCGATGTGTGTCTTCAAAGTCTTCTTTCATACGAGAGACACTGCATGCATTTGAATCGGTTTACTCTGGAAGATTGGAAAGATGCCCCCAAGATACCCCAAGAATGATTGATCGGGGACTGCGCAAATTGTCGGACTTAAGTGGGCTTGACTCTTTCCATCGCTTGACCCTTTCCATCACAGCGGGTCACTTCGGATGAGTATGGGGTCACATTGGGTTGGAATATGTTGGAACATTCTTCCTGGGCATGGTGGTTGGTTTACTCCATTGCATCAAGACATTTTGGCGGCCAAGCCGCAACAACCTAAGCTTAGGGAAAATGAGAGCATGTATTTGTATACAAATCTATACAATTTTGCTCAGGCTCAGACTGAGAAATCACCATGCTGCATACTTGACCCCAAAATTCATCGGGTCCGCTTGGCTTCACAGGTATGGCAGGATCTGCTCTCGAGAAAAGATTCTCGATGCATAGCAGCAGTGCTGACAGCTTGGACTCCAGGGTGCGCCTCGCGCGTTTTTTTCTACGTGGATCGGACATATCAAATCATATCAATATCTCAATCGATGTGCATGTGTTTATTTGTTTTTACTTTAGAGAGAGAGAGAGACAGTTGAGCGTTTGGTGCTGGCCACACCCCTTCTGACACATTCCACAACTAGTGCTTCCAATTTTGCATTGTTGACCCCTTTGCGTGCGATTGCACCTCTTTTGGTGAGAGAAGAGACGGATCTGCCTGATGCCCGCAGCAGGAGCATACCATGGAATGGAAGCTTCCTTCAGAGGAGCAGGTCATATTTCTTGAATGTTTGGCAAGAGCATGCAGCATGAGTTTCATTTACTAGTAGGATGTTTGGCTTTGAGAATTGCTTCTTGCCGGGAACTGACTGCTTTGCTACTCTCGCATCTCAGACGCGAGGCCTATGAGAGACTGCCATGGACCAGGGGGCGTCTCTTCAATTTTCTGGTCTCCACAGTGATCTTTATGAATACTGCCTCTTGGCAGGAAGGAGCCACCTGTGGTAGGCAGTGGAAGCTTCATCGTTTCATTCTTTGTGCCACCAAGGTGTGGCTGGGCCTAGAGACAGACACTCGGAAGCACCGAAACAGATGTGCCCCACATGTTTCGCTTGGGCTGGGCTCGTTTGTGGTGCGCAGGTTCGAACTGCCACACGAGCATTATGGAATGCAGAACCAGACATGTTTAATGAAGAAGCTTCTCTCTAAGTGGCACTCTTGCCTTCAAGCATCTTTAAGCACTCTTACCTTCAAGTGCTGGCAATGCATGTTTTTGCACTCCCATGCGACATCCTGCATAGTTTTGATGAGGTGTTGCTTTCGGTGTCTCCTCAGACCTTTAGATTCATGATCGTTTTCCATTGGGGGTTGCTTAGATTCTGAATATATGCAGTACTCGTACTACTGTATATAAACAAGATCAATTACTTTGTGTGTGCATAAGGAGACCTCCTTTGTTCTTGTTTGTAGTCCACCTTCGTGAAAGGACTCAGTTGCTCTAAGCCAAAGAGCAAATGCGGCAAACCAGAATGCGCTGTTGAAATCTTCTTGGATTGCTCTACCCTTTTCCAGAGTGTCTACTCAAGTTTCTTCAGGACCGTCACTGTCACTACTACACAGGTAGCTTCCTTTCGGAGGGAAGTTGGGAGCCACCAGGTTTGTCCTCGTCGCACTCTCCCTTGTCAGACAGAGCCAGAATTTCTCTCAGGATTTGTACGAGCCTCATATCTATCAAGATCAGATAGATCCTTGGAAGGTAGCCACGACCTTAGCTTGTTTAGAGCCCGCATATTTTCCCAGTGCCAGTGCTTGACCTATTACGCTCGTTGCATGGCAGTGTTTGCCGATGTATTTGAGTCTGAAAGACTCAACAGATCATGGATGAATGTCTCTTGTGGTTTTCACTCTAACAGCTGCATCTGCACAACAAGGGCCTAGGAGGGAGAGCGTCTAAATCGTTGTTCAGATGAAGAGCATGTGCTGAAAAGGTCAACTATGCCTTTGTGTTTTTCTTCCTTGTGGAGCTGCTGATTCGAATATATTCCAGAGCTGGGTGGCCCTTCTTTGCAGACAACTGGAACGTCTTCGTCACTTGGAAGCAAAGTGCATCTGCCAGATTCTGCCAGGCTTTTTTTGATTTGACATCATTTTGCTTCATCGGCAAATATCATATATATATATATGTAATTATACATATGGTTTCATTGAATTGGCTTTGGAACGAGATTTGTTATGTGTGTTTGTTGGTTGAATTCTGCTTGTTGGATGTTGCCTTTGACATGTTCGATGCTGCTGCTGGGCAGTACGATTGGAATCCAACAGCTTGAGTAGGATCTCCCACAGCACCTGTATTGAACCTAATGATCCCGTACAGTACGAATTCAACAAAGCCAAATAGCTTCCACCTTAGTAGCTTCTTGTTACTAGTAGTAATGGCCTCCAACCTAATAGCAATGGCCTCCAACTAGTGGCTTCTTGTTCAAAAAGATAATTCCTTCTCATTCTCTGTTCTGCAGTCGATGGTGGTTTTGACATCCAAGGACTTCCTATTGGTTGTGCTGTCAATACTGGACACCTTCGTACTGGAGTATATCTCTGGCAGCACAGGCGTGCAAATTAGCGATGGCCTTTGCTAGGGATTGCTGGTTCATGCCGGTTTCAAGTCAAACACAATCAAGAAGTGCGTAAACAAACAGAATGATTGAAGCAGTGTGTGGCAAGATGCCACCTTCTATGATCAACTATAAGAGGTATGCTATATAACTGCATCTGCTGCAACCGCTTTGTGTAGATGTGCGTTTCAGTGTGAACAAGCATGCCTCTCCCAGGCAGCTTAAGTGCCTTGCGAGTCCTCAGAGTACTCCGAGTGGCGAGAGTGCTGCGACTCCTGCGCTTCTTCAGACCCTTATGGCTGCTGGTGATAGGCCGGGTACGAAGCTGATCACCAGCCAAAACACCGGTCTTTTCACCCATCATTTCTCCTTTCTGTTTGCCAAACATGCAGATCTCGCCAGCCCAAACAAAGCTGCGAAGCTTGCTTCCGACACTTCAGCAACATATTCAATATGCAGGTGCTGTTGACGCGATGCGAGCGTTATTGTGGGCGTGGGCAACTTGGCGTAGACGAAGAACTGCTATTGTATGGGTTGGCGGTTGGTTTAGTGTTTCAGGCACTGATTGCCGGTAGATGTTTCTTGCCTTTTTATAGCAGTCAGACACACATGTGTGGCTGGAATGCAATGTTCCCGTGTTTGCTCAAGGGTAGCAAGCATGTTGAGATGTGTCTCCTGTTGGTGTTGTTGGTTAAACACAGAGTCCCTATGATGCACTATCACAAAATAAAGTCATGCATGCTATGCAGCACAAAAGACAAACTGAATCCTGCTGGTGGTTTTTTCCATGATGTCTCGTACGGCACTTGCTTCTTTCTGTCCCAGCTTTGTGTTCACTAAAGTCCTGAGAATCCTTTATACTATGATGGGATTCTTCAGATGTCATAGGTGCAGTTTTCGGGTGCGAGGTGCTTATATCCATTCTCATCTATATTTTTGCCATCCTGCTGACGCGGACAGTGGGCTTTCCACATATGGATACGGACGCGGACATCGAGCAATACTTTGGAAATATTGTGTACAGCGGCTCGGCAGCATGCTTTTTGTCGACATGTGTGACTTGCAAGGACATCTTGGATCATTCTTTCAGAAAGACCATTTCATATTTGTTCCATTTTGCCGGGTTCGCACACAACACCAACCTTTGGATGGTTCAAACAGGAACCCCAAGCAAACATTCCTGTACTCGGAGGTATGTTCGTCAAATGGAGGTCCAGGCGATAAATTTCAAGTGTATGTGAAGAAAGGAGGAGACACTAACCACCTTTTTTCTCTTACGTGTTGTTCAATGTTTCTTGGGCCTAAAGCCAAGAAACCGGCAGTTGACCTTTCTGTGTCAGCGCAGTTATATATGTAAATCAACATAGGATCTTCAGCCGGCTTCAACATCATTCATTCATTGTTCATTATCAATCACGAAGGATGTCTAAGTGATGGAAGCTTGCATAAACAACGACTGCAAACATGGCGCTCCAGCACAAACTGTAAGAATGCGGCATCTTTTCTAGCAGTAATTATATAATGTACCTCGTCCATATGTCATCAATTCTACCTGTGTTTCCTGTCAGTGTTTCAAGATCTGAAATGCACGAATTGTCGCGATTGGCTGAGACATCTGAAATGACCAAGACAGGTCCTTCGGCCCCAAAAGACCTGGCGCCAAGACTTGGTTTTGCCATAGGCTCCTTCACCCTCTTCCAAGTGATGACTTTGGAGGGCTGGCCCACAGTGGCCCGCCTGGCCATGGCAAAGGAGCCATGGACTTGGAGCCTTGGACTTCTGGGCAGGCCTTGAGGACACGAGGCCTTGCAAAGAACTTTGGACGGGGGTGCCCTTAGTGGGGCACCCTGTGAACCATTTTGGTCCAAGAGATCACATCCAAAAAAATGGGATGTTCATGAGAGAAGATAGGTGGCACATGGTGGCACCAGCAGCTGGAAAGTGTTGGCGAATCTCTCAGCAGTGGAAATTGGCTGAGCTAGGCTTCTCCAAAGGACAGAACCTGCAAGTTCCGATGAACAGTTGGCTACATGAATAATATTGAATAGTGATTAGGTAAGCGATGGATGTGTGTTCGAATAAGTGAGGGTTAATTCCTGAAAGTTTGTTGCCTTATATGGAGACCGTTCTGGTGGCTTTTGTCAGTCCAAGCGTTGGAAGTAGTTGGACAGCTCGCCTTCGTAGCGTGAACCATTCACGCTCAGATGTTGACCGAGGATCGTGTTTGTGGCGTTCCTGCTCATCACGACCTTTTCTATCATGAACATGATCGTCTCGGCTCTTACCTCAGGTCGAAATTCTTTTTTTTGATGAGGCGGCTCCTTTGTGTTATTTGTGTGTACTTCTGTGAGTGAATTGTATAAGTCTAAGTGTGCAATGTTGCGTTCGAGACTGCCAACAAATGCTAACAACATTGAGGGCCTCACACTTTGCCGGTGACAATCAAGCATTGCAACAGTCGTGAGTTTGCTTGTGACAGCAAGGGATGATTTTGCATGGTGGGGCAATACTTGCCATACCTGAAGAAATACCTGAAGCCAGAAACTGCAAAGCATTTTGAATCTTTCGACTTATCTCAGAAGACATTTCACAGAAGTAGCACTGAGGTCATTGTAGACAGTACTTTGGAGGCAGCTCTAGATCAGAAGTTGCAGGCGATGCGTGACCAGGTCGGGATCAAGAGTTCCAGACTACATTGTTACATTGGCAGTGGCTCATGTGTTTTGCATTACAAAGAACGCTACTAGGGCTCCTGGCCTTACTACTAGGAGCAAGGACGCTACTAGAAGCAAAGGGCATCGCTACTAGGAACAAGAACGCTACAAACGAGGAAGTGATTTCGTTCGCAATATGTTGTACCAAGCTCTTTAAGCTGGGACAAACAAGCGATGCTGGGTAGAGTCGCGCGCAGCTTAGCCTGTCATTTGCAAAGCCGAATCAAAACAGTTTGGTCAACTCACATACAGTAGAGACATTAAAAAGAGAGTGGGGCAGAAACAGAAAGAGAGAGAGAGAGAGGAGAGTACCATGCTGTGAGTAAGATGAACCACATCCGAGCGTGCATTGATGAATTCAAGGTTCTATGAGTTGGATCGACTGTAGAAGCTGTACAAAACATAATGAAAACGCAGATGCATATGTGATTCTGGCTCATTGCGGGAGAGTTTGTTATTGTAGTGAACAAATGTTTGGCCAATGAACTTTTACTACTGCAAGGGGGGTAGGTGGACTTATTATTGCGATGCGCAGATTATATAGATTGTTCTTGGAATGTGAGCAGTGTCCAAAACCTACGAATACATGAGAGATTCTAACCACCAGTACTTTAAAAATCTATCAAAATATTCTACAACCAGGCCGAGGTCATGTGGTGAATCCCCCCATTGTCCTCTTGGTGTGTCACATGCATGTCGCAGGAGTATCAAACCACTATGGCTGCCGTGAAGGTCGATGAGGTCTGTTCGCCGTCGGCGTTCGGTTTCGACTGCGTGGCTTGTTCGCTGATGTTGGCTTTGCACGAGAAACTGCCAGTTTGGCGTCGCCTTCCCGAAACGAATGAATCCAACGAATGGATCGCAAATCGAAAGTTTCATTCGCATGAGAGTTCAACATAAGAAGATATAGGCAGCACCAAGAACTCTAGCAAAGTGAAGATTGAAGACGCATCCATGTCACTTCAAATCACTTAGGTCTTCCGGAGAGCCGATGGGAATGGTGATGGTCAAATCACAAAGGAGCACCCGCTGAGTGTCATGTTCATACTGAATGATGCACACACAGAGAATCACAGAGACATGTCAGTGATAGCTGGTTTGGTTTCCTAATTTGATTGCATGAAGATGAAGATATGTGTTCGACATGTGCAACTGCTTCCTTGTTGTTGCTGTCCAATACGCGTCATTGTATCTTAGTTTGCATAGAGTGCAGCTCGACGTCAATATGAAGATTCATGAAGTACTTGACATGGCATCACAAACGTATGCAATTCCTTGCTGTGCCGGTGCCCTAAACCAGAAGTGGAATGACCATTCTCACAGCACCGTCCTGTCTCCAGTCTATTCGTTCGCCTATTCTTCATTGTTCGACTCTAGCTTCATGGATTGAGAATGTTTGAAAGGCAATGCACAGCCAGAAGCCTTGCTCCTCGGACCTGCCAGGAGGAACTGATGGAAGCCCTTTTGAAGCCGGATGTCCGACTGTACCTCCGGGAGGTCGGTATCGACATCACCAACGCAGAATTTATTTTCGATGTGCCTCGTTACGCAATTGGCATAATTTGGTGGACGGACATCCGTCACACTTTGGAATAACCACTCACAACATCTCACAAAAGCTTTCACTTGATTTGCACACTAAATGGAAAGACCGAGAGACTCATTCGTTTTTTTTAAAGAATAAACTTCTGCTCCCTAAAGTGAGTAAGATGGCGTAAAAGAATGCAAAAGCATGCAAAAGCATCAAACACATTACCAGTATGGTACTGTACAAGAATCTTCACTCACGCACACCTACTGAGTGTTTGAGAAATTGGACCTACCTCCGACACCTAAGGTTGTTGACTATGATGGCTCTGGCAAGCTTGAATACAAGGAACGTTTCAGTGTCAGTGGCGCATTCCAGCAATTTGCTTCCAGCGAAGGAATCTTCAAGTCACCAAGTCAAGGTATTTTGGTCAGGCTTGGAGAAACATCCAGACACCACATGTGCTTCTGAAAATTCTCCAGAAGCATATCGAGAGTCAATCAAGCTCTTACTTAAGAGAAAAGAAACCAGCTGCGGTCATCTGAAGGAGTTTGCCATGGCCTTGGTGAAGGCTCGTGGTGAGGCCAAGGCGCAGGACGTTTTGGCGCTACAGCGCCCCAGATGCAGCTACGTCGTTACGTGCTTCAACTAGACATTGGCAAATCCACAGTTGACTACAGTTGCCGTGAACATGTAGGGTTTGGTAGGAAGTTGTTTCACTTTGGTTGGTTTGGTAGAAAGAGTAATTCCTTGCTTCCGGGGGTAGTGACGTCCAGACCCGAGACCTTGGCTTGGCCCTAGGCATAGGAGTCAAATGCTTGGCCTTGGTTGACTTAAAATTTATGTAATTTTAAATTGAATGGCAGACAGTCGATCGATCTTAACAACACCAGGTGTCTTCCGAGTGAGAAATAAGTTCCGACGCACCACCTCGACTTTCTCACGCTGATCAAGCACAAACAGGCCAATTGAACCTTATTTGGGCTTTAGGTTGGAGCACTGCCAGTTGGCGACAGCAGGCGCTCCGGTGTAACAAGGTCATATTCTATCCCTTGCTACTGCTACTAGGCTTGCTTCGGGAATGCATGTCACCAAATGGTCACAAGATGTCACAAGAAGGCTTAAAACGAGAAGGGACATCGACGCGAGTGCGGTTCGAAACCCGTTGAAACCTCAGGTGCGACCTTTGGCGGCGAGAGCTAAGTCTCCGTGAGAGCCTCTTTCGGGTTTGTCGGGGCACCAAGCCACCAAGCACCAGGACGCTAGTAGCTCTTGGCCATAGTACTAGTAACAAGAAGCTACTAGGAGCAAAGGGCATCGCTACTAGGAGCAAGGACGCTACTAGGGGCTCCTGGCCGCTACTAGGAGCAAAGGGCATCGCTACGAACGGAGCAAGGACGCTACTAGTAGCACCAAGACACCAAGCACCGGTCCTTTTGTGGGCAGACGACCTCTTGGTCGTCTCGTGAGATCGAGCTTTCGAGCTTGTGAAAGAATGCGAAAGGAAAATTAAAGAGAAAAATTACACCAGCATAGACCCAGATAGCTAGGCAGAATCCCACCACTTGTTGACATGCGACTGGCTGGAACAAGAATGTACGCAGCCTGCACAGCCAGCTTACGGCGCCTCCACAGCGCGCACAACCAGCTGACACCAGCACCGGTGCGCTTTGCCAGCTGACAACACCGGCGGCGGCACCAGCGCCCGACCAGCGCCGCCCGTCTTAAACGCGCGCTCAGCCACCAGCACCCAGGACCACAACACCAGCACCAGCACCGACACCCCTTCGAAAGCGCGCGCTGCCAGCTCATTCTTATTTGCAGTAAGAACCCCATAGCTATCCCTAATGCGATCTTGCACGTATGAGTTTATGCGCGCAAAAGTGTGCGCGCGAACAGCAAAGCCCGTAAGTGTCATTGGCCCAAGGCCAAGCAGTATCCAGCGCCACTGTTGCCTTTGTAGCATGCTTGAAGCAACGATCTGTAGAACGATAAGGCCGTATGATCTTGCGCGTATAAGTTTATGCGCGCAAAAGTACGCGCGCAAGCGGCAAAGCCCGTAGGCTCCACTCGCCCAAGGCTGAGCAGTATCCAGCACGACTGTTGTGTGTGTGCCCCTTGTAGTCACAGGGATTCTTTTTGAACTTTTTAGCAGGGGGGCTGGTTGTTCATGCAAGTACCAGCCCAACGAAGAGGCTTGCATTGAACACTGATATCGGTGGGGACGCTCACCGACGTACCTGCTTCCTTCGAAATTTTGAACTTTCTTGTAAAGGGCTAACGCAGCTGCAGTCACGCACGGAACGTCGTCACTTTGTCGGATCGGCTTCGCCTTGCGCTTTGGGCCACACAAGACCCCCAGGCTCTTTAGGACTTTCCTGGACCTTTCAGTTTTTGGGTTTCTTAGGCGCCAGCACCCCGCGCCCACCGCCCAGCGCCGGCACCCAATCTTCCACCACGCGCGGTGCCAGCTCACAGCGCCCAGCAGCACCGGCGCCCACTGTCTCCACCACGCGCAGTGCCAGCGCCCAGTGCCGGCGCCCTGTCTCCACCACGCGCACAGCCAGCTCACAGCGCCCACGCAGCGCCAGCGCCACAGCCGCGCAGCCAGCTCACAACGCCAGCGCCAGCACCGGCGCCCGGCCGCCAGCGCCGGCGCCCGGCACCCAGCACCAGCATCCGGCAGCAGCGCCAGCAACCAGCACCAGCAACCTGCCTCCACCACGCGCACAGCCAGTCACAGCACCCGGCCCCCCAGCACCGGCGCCAGCAACCTGCCTCCACCACATGCGCAGCCCGCACCGGCGCCCGGCACCCAGCACCGGCACCTGCAGCGACCTGTCTCACAGCCAGCTCACAGCACCAGCCAGCACCGGCGCCCAGCACCAGCACCGGCACCCGGCACCAGCACCAGCATGTCTCCACCACGTGCACAGCCACAACACTAGCACCGGCACCCGGCACCCAGCACCAGCATGTCTCCACCACTTGCACAGCCAGCTCACAGCACCAGCACCGGCACCGGCACCCAGCGCCAGCACCATGCACAGCCAGCTCACAGCACCAGCAACAGCACCGGCGCCGGGCACCCAGCATCAGCGCCGGCACCAGCAACATGTCTGCACCACGTGCACAGCCAGCTCACAGCACCAGCATCGGCACCCGGCACCCAGCACCAGCACCATGCACAGCCAGCTCACAGCACCAGCAACAGCACCGGCGCCGGGCACCCAGCATCAGCGCCGGCACCAGCAACCTGTCTGCACCACGTGCACAGCCAGCTCACAGCACCAGCATCGGCACCCGGCACCCAGCACCAGCACCGGCACCCAGCAATCTGTCTCCACCACGTGCACAGCCAGCTCACAGCACCAGCGCCAGCAACCTGTCTCCACCACGTGCACAGCGAGCTCACAGCACCGGCACCCAGCACCGGCACCAGCAACCTGTCTCGAAAGCGCGCACGGGCAACTCCCTGTTATTTGAAGTAAGAACCCCATAGCTTCGCGATCTGGGAATGACATGAGTTTTGAATGAACCCAGAATACTGGGAGAGAAAGCAAAGTGCAATGATGGACAAATCAATGAAATGGACTCTGTCAAGTTTGTTTCATTCTGCTTCAACTCCTTCCAAAGCTTCAGGCACCCCACACAAACCCACACATTACTCATTGCATGTTGCTGAACACGCGGCGTTCCAAGGTGTAAAAGTTGACCAACGGCTCAGAGCCGTTGATGATACTGTAGAATCGCTTCAGAAGGACTTGCAGGTGACGGTCGATTGGGTCGACGGGAGAACTACATTTGGTTGGGGGGATACGTTGGGACAATCGGAAGAAGGACTGTTTCTGCAAAGAGTTGACCACTTGGCCATGTGGTATCAGAAACATTGTATGTGAGGGTAAAACGCGTGAAAGGAAACAAGGCACTCAGTTGCAGCCCGAAGGATGGACCAGGAGGAACTGTTTCTTCCAGGAGTTTTTTCCTACTCTAGGTCTGGGTGATTCTCAGTATCAAATCCTGCTTTCTTGTGTTTCAATTGATTCTGCGTTCACTCCCAAGTCAGCCAGGCGTTGAACTCTGCTTTGGAATGAGATCAGAGGCCGGAGGGGGTTGGAGGACTGTTGTTGAGACATTATGGTCTCACCTGGAGACATGCTGGGGGCTGTTTCACAACCTGTTGCTCGACCTGTCCACATGCTTTGTGGGTATGCATGGAAAATTATCCACAGCCCTAGCTATACATTGTCAGGTTTAAAGCAGTCTTGAAGCGGAGACTCGTTGAAAGTTGCCGACGCAAGATCTTCAGAGTGTTTCTTAGGAACTCTTGTCACATTTCACGAGAGGTGAAATCCCTGGAAGGTGAATACCCTCGAAAAGCTTTGAGTGCCCTAAGAGCGAAGGGATACCTCTTAAGTGAGCAACCTTGGATTCCCCCAAGGGGAAACAACGCAGACACTGTCTCATGTTTTTGTTTGTGACATAACAGGGTGAGCTGTTTGAGGAAGGCAGATGTCCATTTTGTACAGCCTACAATCTCCGGTGGAAAGTGGAACGCGGCCAACCCGAGTTCTGCTAAAGGAGGAACGGATTTTCAAGTTTGGCCAGCTGACCGTCTCAATTGTCATTGAACTGAAGGTATATTTCATGTCTACTTACAGACCAGGCAAAGTGGATGTTGCATCCTGTATGTGTTTGAATTGCTGTTGGCGATGGTCATCCGTCAATGGTTCACGAGAATGCATTTTGGCATTCCTGTGATTTGAAGATAGAAAAAATGTATTGTATAAGTGTGTTTAATTGTATTAATAAATTGCAATCAATATATTATTTATATAGATAAATCTAAAATCAAAAATACTATAACTAATTAATATAATAGATGATTTTGGGTGGTTTGAGAAAAAATAGTTAATGAAATAGAAATTATATAATTGAAAAATTTATAGATATTGATTGTATATAGAGAATAATATTGTTTTTTATATGAAATTTAGGGATAATCAAATGAAATATATTGGATAATTTATGATTTGAATATGTTAGGAATACGATTGATGAATATTGGGATTTGATTTTTTATAGATATATTATTTAATGGATGATTAATTGTTTAAATAAATATATTAGATATGTTTATATTTATCGATTATTAAATAGATTATTTCTATTATTTATATATAAATATATAATATTTGCATATTTTAAATTTAAAAATATCGTTTTAATTATTGCAATTTTGAATATAATGATTGATTAATTATATTGATTGATTCCGATTCGCAATCGACGAAGAATATTTATTTGATTTGGATAATTAGATTTGGCCCCGATTTTTGTGATAGGTTTCGAAAGGTTTAAATGAATTATTTGAAGATTGTTTTGTATAATTCTATTCACGAAAGCTAGCGAAGCTAGCTGGAGTTATTCTTGCGATAGCAAGGTTTTTTTCGACCGGGTGTAAATCCTATTCTCTGATTTTTTAGGTTAAAGATTCTCCCCTTCTCCCTTCTCCCCTTCTTCCCTTTTCCCCTTCTCCTCTTCTCCCCTCTTCCCCTCCTCTCCTCCTCCCTTCTTCCCTTCTTCCCCTCCTCCCCTTCTCCCTTCTTCCCCTCTTTACCTCCTCCCCTCCTCCCCTCTTCCCCTCCTCCTCTCCTCCCCTCTTCCCCTCCTCCCCTCCTCCCCTCCTCCTCTCCTCTCTTCTTCCTATTTTCCTCCTATTTTCCTCCTACCTTCTTTCCCTCTTCCTATTTTCTTCTTACCTTCCTTCCCTCTTCCCTCTTCGCAAGTTCGACTCCGTCTTGTCGTCGCTCTTTGGCATGCGGTTAGCGTTGCGTATTTTGCGGCCGCACTATCTCATTCGTTTTACTCGTCTCACTCGTCTCATTCGTCTTATTCGTCTTACTCGTCTCACTCGTCTCATTCGTCTCACTCGTCTCACTCGTCTCACTCGTCTTACTCATCTCACTCATTTCACTCATCTCACTCATCTCATTCATCTCACTCATCTCACTCATCTCACTCATCTTACTCATCTCACTCATCTCACTCATCTCACTCATCTTACTTATCTCTCTCATCTCACTCATCTCACTCATCTCTCTCATCTCTCTCATCTCTCTCATCTCTTTCTTCTCTTTCTCATCTTTCTCTTCTCTCTCTCTCTCTCTCTCTTCTTTGTCTCTCGTCTTTCCGTCTCTCTTCTCTCGCAGGAGGATCCGGGCAAAGAGCCACATATAAAGGACTCTTCACCCCTGCCTCCAAAAAGAGCGCCGTGTTTTTTCTTACCTCGCTGCCCTCCACTTTCCCATTCTGGAGCGCTAGCTTTCGCCCCCCCCCTTGGCCTTAAGTTTTGGTCTTCTTTTGAACGTATAATTTACGAAATTGAATTATAGATATATTAAATGTATTTAAGGAATTGTTTTATTTCGATGCAATACGGGTAGTTTGAAGTTTGAAGCGATTATTGGAAGATTAAATGAAAAATAAAAATAAAATAATTGAAATATATATTATCAAAAAATAAAATGTATATTAATTAATTTATTATATTACTAAAATTTAAATTATTAATAATGTAAGATTTTGTGATATTATTTGTTTAAGGAATGTTTTTCGATTAGGATTTATGCGATGAATGATTGAATTATTCTATCGTTTATAATAGAAAAAATGTAAAGGAAGAAAATAGATATTATATGGAGGTAAATTATATGTTATTTTCTGTTGATCGATTAAATTAGGAATATTTGTGGTTCGGTAAAAGATAAAGAATTATTTAATGATTTTTTTTGTAGCCCATGACCCTGCCTCTTTATTTGATAAGGATATAAATATATTATTGATAATAGGAAGCTCTTGACTAAAATGCAGGATAATTCACGCTTCTTCAAGGAAGCGTTCGCACGTTTTTGTTTATTTTGATAGGTTCGTATTAAAAGGATTTAGTTATATTTATGGATAATCGATTATATTATACAATGAAAATATATTGTATTTTTGCTAATTTAAAAAGGATATAATCGATCTGGAGATTGATTTCAAATATTTTTTTAAATTAATATTAATAATTATTACGGTTTCACCTCCATCGATCTTATCCGGCTGAGGTACGATCGGAGTTGAAAGAGGTGACGGGTTCTGCCCCTCATCGTTGCTTACAATATTTAACTAATTTCTTGATTGCACAAGGCCTCAACATCCATATTATATAAATCCATGAGAATGATCATGATGCATCCGAGACCCTGAAAATTGATTACGATATCATTCCTTTCCACGATCCCGGGACCCAAACGTGGCCGACCCGCCATAATCATTGGTCCTGATAATCTTGCCCAGATCTTGAAGATGCCTAGTATTGGACCTCTTCCTGCATTAAAAAATTCCATATGATTGTTCCTTGTATTAGGAAATTATTGGTCGCAAGGCCCTAGCAACCCCTCTCAGGACCTGCCATGATTTTGATAGGCCAATAGAAATGGACTTCGTGCCGGCCAGGGATGTCATGCCCGGGCGCCTGATCCCATTGTCGAGCCCTTTAGCATGGAATTTGCCTTGAGGAATCATTTCAAAGATTTTCATGTCTGGTTCGTTTCTGTTATATGATCCGAGACCTCCATTTTGGAGCTCCGGTGTTTGCAATGTCCCAGATCCAATTGAAGACCGGGTCCTCCATCTCTCCCAATTGAAATTCAGTTATGACCTCGTAGGACCTCCATAGAGCGCCATTGAGCAGAATCCTGATTGCCTGGGCCTTCTGACCGGGCGGAATCTCGGCTGCACACGCGGAATTTGCTCGCCTGTACACGCGCTTGGATTTGCTCGGTTGTATACGCCGTTGTGCTCTGAATGAATGAATGAATGCATGAATGAATAAAGGAATGAAGCAATGAATAAATAAATGAATGCAAAAATGAACGAATATATAAATGAATATATTAATACATAAATAAATGAATGAATGCATGAATGAATGCATGCATGATTGCATGAATGAATGCATGAATGCATGCATGAATGAATGGATGCATGAATGCATAAACGAATGAATGAATGAATGAATGAACGAATGAATGAATGAATGAATGTTAATGAATGTTAATGAATGAATGAATGAATGAATGTTAATGAATGTGAATGAATGAATGTTAAAGAATGAATATTAAAGAACGAATGTTAAAGAATGAATATTAAAGAATGAATGAATGAATATGAATATGAATATGAATATGAATATGAATATGAATATGAATATGAATATGAATATGAAT